CCGCAGTGGCGACCACCGTTGACGACGCTGGAAGTCGCTCCCTGGCGCCGGCGGCGTCGTCGGGCCTGATTGTAGCCTCGTGCGGAGGGTCTGATAGGTTGGATTTAAATCAATATTTCCGTTGGCTGTGCCCACCGAGGCCCAACTTTTCAGCACCAGTTTGGTCCTCCTGTCATTGGATCGGCAGATAACTTTGGCGTTTTCGAGAACGAAACTCTGATTCTCTCTTTCTATGTGGCCATATACCAGTAACAGTCTATCCACGCGGTTGATTGCAAGTTGATGTTCATGCAACCTTGTAGAGGCGTATTGTGGAACCGGGTAAACGCCTCTGCACAAGATTGCATGAACACCTCATTGTAGTCATGCGCTTCGTCAGGGCGGTGGAGCTTTCTATTGATCGTGTTTGCGGTTTTTTTCCGAACAACGAAGGACAATTATTACGAACCGGGGGGAGTCTTAGACGAAAGCAGTAAATCTTTTGGTTTAATCTCTGTCTTAGACGTAAGTTTAATGACGGAAAGGGCAGATTGATAACTCCAATGGGCTGCCTACTCTTTAATTATCTTTCTGAGGTCGTAATAGACGAACTGGAAATGCGGATGTTCGCTTCACACTCACCATAATTCCTGATCCCCCATATGCATGACAAGTTTTAGTTGTAGTATGCCGAAGTAGGAACACCAATGGAGTGTGCCTTTTTTACTGTATGAGTGGCGTATTTTCACAGCCCATTTTGACAATTAAATAATACCTGTAAAAATCACTATTTTCCATGCTCATTCCTTCATGATCTTTTCTACTAGCACTTACTGCCACTTTTTCTCGGAACCTAGATCGTGACTGGTGGTACGGACACTCACCTTTTCTTGGTTGACTTTCGACCGATCAAATTAGACGGTGTTAGAGTCTATACTGTGCTGGACCAGTTAGGTGTTACGGTGAACAAAAATACAGTGCCCGGTGATATCAATGCCATGCGGTGAGTCCTTTAAGTCCCTTGCTGTTGTTCCAAGCTTGACCGCCTTTTTTAAATGCCACCGCACCATTTTCCGCCCGTGTGTCTATTTCGCTTTGCAGCCCGAGCGGAATTCGTCTGGGTACTCCGGCCTTGACTTCGCGCGGCTTCCAGCTGGAGGACATAGACCGTGTCGCAGACTTTGTACATCGTGGAATACAGCTGGCCCAGGAGATTTCAAGACGCGCCGCTACCACTAATATTAAGGACTTTGAGGTGAGTCAGGTCCCTTCCCCCTCCCCGCGTACGCGTGGTGCGAGAAACTCAATTTTGGCCGATATCGAACGTCGAAGTTACATCGAACATCTGCCCCCCCCCACTCCTAAAAGAGTATATGCAAATCGGATGAGTTGCTGCTGAAAGCATGTCAGGAGAAGCCCTTCGCGGTTTGTATCAATATCCTAAGGTCTGCAAATATTCCCATTCTTAAGTTGAGAAGTCAATTTGGCAAACATATGT